AACCGAGCATCTTAATAAGACTCTTCCCCACTTMGGTGCACAAAGTAGCTCTTTTATYTCTTCTAGTTAGGAAGYGAYRMATTTTYGAAATCTCGGACTCAGGCACAAMAACAGCATTTRAAACTTTGMAAATKCCWCAARAATMTATTARTGRCCCGATTWAAACTAAACRAACCGAGCATYTTARTAAGWCTCTTCCCCWCTTCGGTGCACAAAGTAGCTCTTTTATTTCKTYTAGTTAGGAAGCGATGAATTTTTGAATACCGGACTAAGGCACAAAAACAACATTTCAAACTGCAAATTCCGCAAAAATCTATTAATGGCCCGATTTAAACTAAACAACCCGAGCATCTCAATTTTTSAATCCCGGACTGARGSWCAAAAACARCATTTGAAACTTTTGAAAATTCYTCAAGAATMTATTAGTGACCCGATTGAAACTAAACGAACCGAGCATCTWAATAATACTCTTCCTYATTTTGGTGCAAAAATCCCTCTTTATCTCTTCTAGTTAGGAAGCGACGAATTTTCAAAATCTGGACTGAGGCACAAAAACAGCATTTGAAACTTTGAAAATTCCTCAAGAATCTATTAGTGACCCGATTGAAACTAAATGAACCGAGCATCTTGATAAGACTCTTCCTCATTTTGGTGCAAAAACCGCTCTTTTATTTCTCTCTAGGAAGCAACCAATTTTTCAATTCCGGACTGAGTCACAAAAAACCGAGAGTCTTAAATAGACTGTTCTTCTCCTGCTTGATGCCAAGCAAATTTGAATCACCCTGTAGAGTGTTTGGTTCAAGATGTGGAGTAGGAAGTGGCTAGGCGCCATTTGAATGCATCCGGTGACTCACCCACACCCAAGCGTCTTTGCAATTCAAACGTAGGTTCATGCAATTGGTACTATCGAGCGAAAATCGGCCCAAACAACATTTTCCTTCAACTGGCTTTGCCTGGTTTTGACTAAACACTAATAAATCAATGACGCACTTACCGCTTTCCCATGGACGGACATCGGGACTGCTGCCATTCGGCTCCCCTGCAAAAAAATCAACCACTGTACAAAAAGGCTTCGATTCACTAAAGTGGGCTAATTTACGGGTTTGTTTTTGATGTTGCGTGCGATAAATCCCGAAGCCAAACCAGGATTACGAATAATAATTATAGGGGCTCTAGAAAGCACTTGACTTAACTTCAACGATCTCCCTCGTAACGGATCGCTCCACCCAAGCAGTCCTTGATTGTTCTCACTGCAATGCGATGAAAGGAGAACAACATGGCTATCGCTATGACAACCAGCCTCTCCTTGTCCGTTCCAGTCGCTCTACGAGGGCCAGACGCAAGAAAGATCAGTGGATCTTCTCACATCAGGCCAGGTAAACGAACTATGGCAAGTTAAATGGAAAAATCCAAAGCGCGGTCAAGCCTAGACGCGAAGCTAATTATTCAAACAATCAAGGGCAAGACGGCGTTAAATAGGGACAGATGTTCGACAGGGGAAAAATTTAAAAAAATAGCCGCGGTTTGAGATTGCTGGTGCATGCAACCACCGACAACTGCCGAAAGGCGGGTGCAGGCTCGCTATTTTTCACTAAATTACTGGATTTTTTCATAAATCACGTTCCGATTGGTCAACCGGGACTAAAACCGAATTCCATCGAGCATTATTATCCACTTGACTTGAGCTGTGCGTGCTGGGGCTCGAATTTTGGGGCGTTTTTAGGACTACCCATAAGTCACTTTTATCGGTGCGACAGACCATCCTTGAGGGGCCTCAATGGGGACTGCGTTACCTGATGGGAGGGCCCACTCTGGGGATTTTGGACAGCACGCAACACATGTCTGGACGACGTCCAAGGCTGAGGGATTGGCGACCTTTTTTTAGAGGTTGAAGGCCGAAAAAAAATGCAAACGCTACAATAAACCTAAATAACTGTCGCTGCCCAGCACCACACAAATTTTCCACACAAATGGACGATTGATTTTAGTTTATTTAATGCCACAATTAGACTCAAACCCGCAATTTGGATGTATGCATTGCCTATTTATTTAAAAGCGTTTCTATATGGAGGCGGCATAAATGAGGAATTGTGAGTCTGCCTTTTCATTAATTTACGGAGAAATTGCCTTTTGATAGTTGCGGCTTCAAAAGAACACTGAAAAATGCAGAAGCCTGCCCTAGGAAAACAGCAGCAGGCGGTGGGTAGTTGATGAGATAGAAAAAAAACATTGAATCAGGAAGAGAGAGTAGATAGAAGTCCAGTAAATGGCCAATGAGTGTTAGTGTGTACAAAACACCTTGTTTATAGGGTGACGCAAGTTTAAGTCGAAATAAAAACTATATTTCTAGAACAACTGAGTTTGTATGCACAACTTACCAATAAGTACTTGAAGCTCCTTATGAATTAAGTAACATTTTTTATGCGTGAGTGGCAAAGACTTTCGCGGTTAATTAGCCTCTAGCTTCGACGCCCCACAAATTTTATTTGCCCATAAGCAACTAACTCCTTTATGTGTTGGCAGGGTTTTTTTCCGAAGACATGCCTTAGAAAGGGCTTTTCATAGGTTTTCGCATATTTTTTGCTGGGTTGCACGCAACTTGGGCTGGAGCAAATGAAAAAGTGCACTTGAAAGATGCTTGATTGGTCTTAATATATCTTTACGAAGAAGGGAAATAACTCGACTAGAGGCAAAGGAAAAATTGTACATCTAAGAGACAGCCAGTCAACGCAATTCTAAGTTTATTTGCCCATAACTCTTTGCTCTTTCAGCAGATTTCGGCTTCCTCACAAGCGTTGAAGAGACAATTCCATTGTCTTCAATATGTTTCTGGGCAAAATTTTAGCTCGGTTGCACGTAACACGACCAGGAGCAATCGAAAATCGCTACCTGGTAAAGACACTCAACCAACCATAGCCACGTTTCAAATGTCTTGTTTCTCAAAAAAGGCTTGAATTCAAGAAGTTTTAGATTTGCGTGGTTATTTTTTTGAGTTGCAAAATCCA